AGAGTTCCTTTCATGCATTATCTCAGAATCTCAGCTCGTTCGGTTTTGCATACAATTCTTGTTAAGGGACTAATCCTGTATCCTCCCGACTTCTCGGACTTGATATGAAATTTTCACTCTTTTTGTTTCCGGAAGTGCTTGACTTGTACACTTGCTAACTTATCATCTGTTGCCAACTGATCAGTGTGCCATCTTGAAAGTTATGTAATTCAACCCTAACAATACCTAGAGGAGGGTGAATATGTATAATATGCAAAATTTAAAATTATTAATGAATTAAATAGCAATAAGTCACTTTTTAATTCTTTTCTAGATGATTATTCATGCAAATCAATCTTAGTCCTAAGTCTGAATACCGCAATTGTATAATCAATTCATATAATGAAAGCAGTAAATAACACCAAAAATGATCACGGAGAAACTCAACTGGGAAAACCTCCGGGCTGTCAATCCACTATGAACGAATTTAACAACTTACAGTCTACCGACTAGACGACCCGTACTATCTGATTACCCGACTGCACTCCTTATAGCTCTCCGCGGATCCCGTGCTCTCCTGCACCAATCCTTAGCTATTGTTGCAAAAGCTTTCTATGGAATCTGCTACCCTGCAGCACTCCAAGCCTTGTGAATTCGTTTATCTCCTGTGGATCACGAAAAACAACCCGTTCTTCACAGACTGAAACTCCAGTTGCCTTCCTCGATCTTCAACACCTCTGACAAATATATAGGAAGTGTGGTTTTTGGTATTTGGATTTGGATCTGGATCTGATGTTTTTCCCACTACCAAGAACAAATCTCAAAGATACATGAAGGTTGAAAGCTAAGAAGATGAAAGAATACTGATAACACAGTGTTTGCTTATTGTTCAACCTTGGAAAATCTCGTTCTGAGGCTGTTTGATATTTATAGCCAGGGTAAAAAGAAGAAAGGCTGGGAAAAAAAATTTTAAAACGCGAAATAAAAATTTCCCTTATAAACTTGTCGATCGAGCGAGGAGCCAGAGACAGTGTGTCGCTCGAGCGAAGGAGGGGCGACAGTCTAGCGATGCAGTTTCCGTTTTTTGTAGATCGAGCCAACCCTTGGCGACAGTCTAGCGAAAATCCGGGTTTTTTCCTCATTGTTCCAAACTCGAAACCCTAGACCTATTTAACTAACTTTTAAATAAATTGCACATTACTTCTTAAGCTTTTACACTCTACCAATTTAAGTCATTTTCTTCACAGAATTTGTCAAGTACAAAATCAACTAAAACCTAACACATCTGATTGAGTAATATTGTAGAACACATTGAGCATTACTCTTTTCCTTTTCATGCATTGACATGGCAAGCATGGATATTTTATAAGAAGTTATCTGAATGTGTGTCTAAATTGGGATAAAATTTTTAGGTAACTTGTCTTTTCATTGAGCTGAACAAATTATAGGCAAGGAAAGAGTTTGAAGAAAGCCAAAAGTGTACCTTATCTTTCTAGAGGCTATTGTTGGCACTTTGTATTGGGAATGTTGTCTTGTTACAATCACTCACATTAGTTGGGATTATTAAAGTCCGTTAGACGAGACTTTTAAAAAGTTAAAACTGTTTTAAACACAAATCATGCTAAATTGGCCCTCAGTACTATATTTATTGACATGTTTGACATGTTGAATTAAATTCTTGTTTATTGTCTTGTACAAGTTGTATACAAAAGGGAAATATTTTGTAATGAAAATTGGATAGCACTTGACTATATTAAGTAGCTCTTTGTCGCCGTCGTCTCAAATTTATGGTATTTACTGCTGTTCAGGGCAATAGTTATTGTTAATAATCAGAATTCTAATAAAATCAGTGAGAAATTCTAATGGATTGGAAGGTAGACTTCATTCCTTCATC